ATAAGTATTCTAAAAGGGCTTACTGGTCATGCTGAATAGACTTGAAAACTGAAAATCTAAATGCTACTATTGATATGTGTCTTAATTAACAAAAATCTAGAAAAATTCATTGAATAGCTCCTATAGGCAAAGTGGTATACTAATTAATTTCAGAAGCTACAAAACAATGTAGAAATCAGTCTTCTTGTTAAGGAGCTTTAATCCAGTTGAGAGCCAAAAAATGTCACATCAGAAGATTAATAATAACTTTATCCAAACACAAATAAAGGTGCACTCCAGTTTCCCTCTGTGAGAAATACTGTGAACCCAATGGATTACCTTATGTCCTTAGCATACAAGGCTGTGTCTCTTGCCTCTATATATCCTTGGTTCCTGACAACAGATGCTCTTAATACTAAGGGGTGTGACTTGAATTCAACAGAGATGTTTCTCAGAAATTGAAATAAATTTTAAAAGAGCATAAATATTCTTTAGTGTCTCTTTTGCTAGTTTGTTCATTCAACATACAGTGTTTCTTACAAGACAGTTTGCCTGCAGAGTGTAGGACAACATAAGTAATATAAAGATGAACAATATAGAGGTGAATCATTAGTTTTCTTCCTTCAATAAGTTTATTTCACACCCTGAACTCCGTATAGTTAGAACATGTACAATAGAAATAACCATAAAGTCATACACCATTACTGTTATGTGAAAATATTGAAGATTGTTTTAAAAATAACTCTTTACATTTCTTAAAACATGCTTAAAGTATGTGCCAAGAGTTGATCTATTAACCATAAGCACATACAGCACATGAGGCAATCCTATGTTTTGTATCTGTGCAAAAATACTGTTAGAACAGAATTTAAATGTGCCAGAACCCAGAGTTCTTCCAGATGTATGCTTTCACTGATTTCTGGAAAATTGTTTTCCAATACCCTCTCACAGTACACAGACCACATTATAAGATGGAGAGGCCACTTTGCACTTTTACAGAATCCATAGCATTAACTCCGGCTGTCACTGTCATCAAAACAATGTTGTGAATATCCACTCATCTTTTCAAACTGGCCAGTGTAGTTTTCCTCTAGGGAGCTTCACAAAAGAATTTTTATATAGTTTTCCAAATTCCTACTCCCATTAAGGGTTTTTTTTCCCCTAAACCTGGAGAAATATTCACTTAATCAGCTGTTCAGAAACATCATTTTTCCCTCCATGGGCTTTTATCCCTCTTGAATTAGACAGTGATTTTCAGGAAAATCCTTCTCAGTGCATGTTTACTATGATTATGTATCTTTTTATTTAAGTCAACAGAAATAATACAGACTTCAATATTTTTTGAGTTTTATTGAGGACTGATCTGGCGTGTACTTGAAAGAATGTGACCCCTCTAAGTAGAAGCATCATTTCATTGAAAATTGACCAAGACTGTCATCTTCTCCTCTTCTTCACAATGCAGTCTAGGTATTGATGCCTAAGACTGCATAAGAAATTACCACAAACCTAGCAGCTTAAAACAACATATATTTGCTATCTCACAGTTTGAGTCAGGAGTCTGCTTGTGACGTCGCTGGGTCCTGCACTCACAGTCTCACAAGGCTACAATCAAGGTATTGGCCGGGCTGTGTTCTCATTTGGAGAGCTGTGTTTCTCATCGAATGGAAAGGGTCAGCTTTCAGGCTTGCTCAGGGTGCTGGGAGAAATTTGGTGGAGGGTCGTAGGACTGAAGGAGTGGCTTTGTTACTGGCTGTTGGCTGAAGACCGCCACTGGGTCCTAGTAGCCACCCACAGTTCCCATCCACATGGGCAGTTCACAACATGGCAGCTTTCTTCTTCAAGGCCAGCAGGGGAGTTTCTCTCTGCATTCACTGGCAAGATTGGTTTTTTGTGTGTGTATGTGTTTTGGGGGAGAGGGCGAGCAGGGATGCATAATAATATAATCACGAGATTAATATCCTATCACCATTGCCATATCCTTGGTTAAAAACAAGTTATAGGTCTTTCCCACACTTAAGAGAAAGGGGTTATACAAAGAGATGAACATCAGGAGATGGGAATTATTAAAAGGTCACCCTAGGGTCTGTCCACCACAATGCCATTGAACAGAAATTTTCAAGGAGTGACCCTCCCTAGATATAAATGGTTTTTGTTACTCTTCTAGAGGCTAGTTATCTCAAATGAAGGTTGCAATTCTTTAAACACATCAATTTTGGTTCTCTTGTCTTTAAAAAAGACAAAGAAGCCATATAGCAAATCCTGGGCTTCCCAGGTGGCGCCAGTGGTAAAGAACTCGCCTACCAATGCAGGAGACATAAGAGACATGGGTTCAATCCCTCAGTTGGGAAGATCCCCTGGAAAAGGAAATGGCAACCCACTCCTGTATTCTTGCCTGGAGAATCCCATGGACAGAGCAGCCTGGCAGGCTATAGTCCACAGGGTCTCAAACAGCTGGTCAGACACAACTGAAGCATCTTGTTGTACTGTGCTTAGCCACTCAGTCTTGTCTGATTCTTTGTGACCCCATGGACTGTGCCCTCCTCCAGGGGAATCTTCCCAACCCAGGGATTGAACCTAGGTCTTCCACATTGCCGGTGGATTCTTTAGGGTCTGAACTATCAGGGAAGCCCACTTAGTACATCATAAATCCTGGGCAAGGCCTGGGGAAGCTATAGGACACAGCAGGGTAAAGAAAATAAGTAGGAGAGAGAAATAATGACCTCGAGCACACTTAAGAAATCAAAATCCCAAAAATTTAGGTATCGTTAGTTGAATGGCTTGTGTTTGCTTGTTTTGTGATTTATTTTGCTTTGATTTTCCACCAATATTTGGAATTATCTCTGTTTCGTTTGTCTGTCTATTCAAAGTTGACTGTCACTACCAACTGCAGCAGTTCATAGAATTACCATCTACCTTCCTCACTCAGTCCCCTTTGCAGAACACTTAAATCCTCTGAAGTAAATCTGCTTTTGACTCAAGAACTTGAACACTGGGATGCTACTTGCCATCTGTCTTAAACTTTGAAAGTAACTTTTTGCCAACACAAATGTGAATTATGAGCAACAACCTGGGATATTTCTGGTCTCACAACAGGAAAAATAAAGGAACCCTGAAGTATTATTTTAACTACTTTGTTTGCTAGCAGTGCTTGTGGTGAATGAAAAATTGATCCTTAATTGTGTGGGAAAGAGAGAAACGATATGCATACTGATGGCCAAGTATAGACTTCAGAGACTTAGCAATTTTGAAACTGATATTTATGAACATCTGCTTTTGCCCCATAAATTTTAATATGGATTTCATCCTTTGAAACCTATAAGACTCCCAGGTGCTTCTTCAGTCTTTATCTTGGAAATATGCTTTTTTAAAAACCTCCTTTTTTTCTATTGAACACATTCAAAATCATTTTTTAAAAACATTTCTTTATAAACAGTGTCCATTGGAATACCTAAAATATGATATTAAAGGTTAGCAACTCAAAAAGCTGTATTCAGCATTGTGAGCCTCCAACTTGTCCAATCCCAGAATAGAAACCATAAATGTCTTAATAAAGGGTACTGAGAGGTATTCATTTCTAGTCCCAGTTTATGCTTTCCATTATCCCACAAATAATTATTTAATGCTTGCATGTCTTTAGTGCTAACATTATAGTAGCCAATAAAACAAAGTCCCTGCCTTCATTGGGTTTTTGTCCCAGTGAATGTAAATGTTCTACAGAACAAATCCCCTTTAAATTTTCATAATACTGTTCATATAGTTCATTGAGAAACTTTGCACAGGGCCTGCAAACCAGTGATGTTCATCCATTCTTGATGTTGGACTAGATGCTGGGGATACAACTTGTGAACACAGTAGACGTGTTTCTGCTCTCAAGGAGCTGAGTTCAGCATACCTCTCTCCTGTGTCAAGAAAAGCAGACCCGAGAGCTTCAGGGTCTTCCCTATTTTAGATCTACCATAAGCAGAGCTAACAGTGCCTCCATCCCCTGGCTCTTGGGCATGCTGAGAGTTGTTACTATGGGTACAAGATGAGAGTGCGGACCAGAGGCAAGGAAATACAATCACAGCTCAATAGACGACAAACAGATAAGTCAACTGGGCATGTGCGAGGCCAGCAAAGACAATAAATCTCTCTTAGGAAAGCAACTTTGTAAGAGTGCAGTTCTGGCCACCCTATAGCAGAGGCTACAAGTCATTTACATAATAGGAGAGCCTCGGGAGGACAGTGGAGCTGTTTAATTTGGTTAGGCTAATAGTTTTCCATCCATTTACGGTGTAATGGAACCTCTCTCCTGTGCCTCTTAAATAGGAACACTTTGGCAGGATGCCACAGGGCACATAAAACAGGGTGGTCTTCTGAGTGTGTCATTTCCACTCAACCATTTAGAGGGGGAAAGTTAATTAATTTACGGATTAGGGAATTATTTTCCATTAAAACCAATGCAGCCATATTATGGACTAGAAAATGCAGAGTTTACATCCAATTTTAAGATAAAGTATGAAACTAAAGCAGGACTGGAGCCAAGGGCTAAGGGATTAAACACCCCTACACATTTCCATCAGCCCCCTGTGAAGCCAACCTAATAAAAATAAGTTTTTGATATGGATAATTGATCCTCAATTCCATGTAAAGTGTAAATAAAAGACAAATCCCCAAAAGCATTCATTTTGACAGCATTGCCACTTGAATATCCCAGCTTTTTAGAAATTCTGGAGCTGTGGTTAGATGCATGAAAATTCTGGGCCACTTCAGGCTCTGACTTGGCACTCCCTCAGAGAGCAGCCCTGAGGCCCATGCTGGCCACCCTCTGTGTTTAAGAGCAAGAACTCTCTTGGAAGGGTTTGAACTGGCTGCTCTCTTCTCAGATGGGCCGTGAGAGGTTTACTCCACGCTCCCTCCATGTCAGAAGCCCTGAGTCTGAGCCCTGGCCGTCCTGTGTCCACTTGCCTTTGCCCAGCCTCAGAGTGCTGCGTGGCAGGCAGACACACTCATGTTCTTTGTGCTTTGTGTTCCTGAAACAGGCTCTGGACCAGGTTCAGCTCCATCTGGAAGAAGTGAGGTTCTTCGACGTGTTTGGCTTCAGTGAAGCAGCAGGAGCGTGGCAGTGCTTCATGTGCAACAACCCCGAGAGAGCAACCGGTGAGAGCCACCCTCCCTCTGCCGGCTGCTCAGAATCACGTGTGCCCCTGGGGTTGCCAGGGATGCAGGAACCCCACCACTCTGGTTGGCTTTCTTCTTGCATAAACATCCTAAGTTGGAACAATGCATAGAGGTGTGCCTGACTGCCTCTTCTTCGTGTTGACAAAGGTTTCTCACCAAAGTGGGAGTGAGAAAAAGGGAAGATGTTGGAACAGAGAGAAACATAAACCAGAAATGAACAAGGGGAACACTGCCCACATCTATCTGGCTATCAAGAAAGTGGTACTGGCCATCTTACCCCAATAACATTCTTCATTTCAACCCCAGTGACCCTAAGGGTTAGAGAAAAAGAAACATCCTGTCAAGAACCCCAAAGAAATGAGACCACACTTAAATGAGTGAGTGGTTTCACAGACCTCCTCAACTCCCTTAACATTTTTGCTTGATGATTGAACTGGGTGAAAAATGAGACACTGAAAGAGTAAGGAATTATTTGAGAAATAATTTCATATCTGGTTATTTACCGTTCGCCTTCCTTTATGCTGCACAAGGAACTTGGTCTGCTGAGTTGCCTAAAAATAATCATTGTTAGTCAACATGTGCCAAGCCCTATGCTAAACGTGTCAGGTATCTCATTTAACCTTCACAATAATCTCATAAGGCTAGTACTAATGTTATCTCCATTTTACTGATGGGGCAACTGAGGCACAGAGGGGTTTGGGAACTGCCTGAGGTGACACAGGTAATAAGTTAACAGCAGCTGGATTGAACCCAGTCTGACCCCAGAGCCCATGCACTTAACCATTTCCCCACGCTGTCTCCTGGTTACACTTGCCCCAATTTAATCAGTGGACATAGGTTGATAAAAAGTCTAACCTTCACAGAGTTATGCTGCCCTTGGGAATGGAATATTTTACCATCAATGTGATAGAGTTCTCAACATCGACATGGTTCAGGAACTGAAGTGTAGACCAAGAGAATGGTGTTGAAACACTGCTGGACATAACCACTTTGTAGATGAGCCATCCTCTAGAGAGCTGTTGGTCATACCATCTGTACCCGTTCCTTGAATTGGGATTTGGTGCATCTTAAAGATCATCCATTGTGGCAAGTCTGTCCTCTTGCTCAGCCAAGAAGCTGAGACTGAATTGAAAAAGAAGTGTTTATTTTGGCCAGATGGAAATTTGAGGGGCTCACGCAGAGGCACCAAGTAGAATGTACTACCCCACGGAGACAGTATGGGTGGAAGAAACTGGCAGATAAGATGGCAGCCTTCATGAGGCACAGATTGTTGGCTGATTACAGACTGAGATTGAGTTGATGCCAGAGTGAACACACTGATTTTTTAAAAAGTTAATTTGAGCAAAGAAAGAATTGATGAATTGAATGTCCCCATTATGAAACTTTCTAACTAGACCTTATTTCACCTGTGAAAAAGACTGCATAAAAGAAACCTTACTTGAGATCATGGTGAAGTAAGGGACTTACCTGAGGTGGTTCTGAGAGGCCCTAAAGAATTTCATTCCAAGTTGAGTCCTTAGTTCAATAAACATTAAATCGTATCTGGCCAAGGGACGCTCAGGAAAGGAGCCGCAAGTTAAAACCGCAAAGTGTTCCTTTAATATATGTTTTCTCAAATTCACTGCCGTGACTTAAAAGAACATTTTGCACATTCACTCGTTCTTATTTGTGTTTCTCACAGTTAAATATAGACTGAGAACATATAGCAATAAAAATTCAAACAAGGCCAAACATTTTACAGCAGAACATATTGAATCAAAATGTTTGGTGCCAAAAACTTTTAGATTTCTTTGCTCATTTCCTTTTGCTTTATGAAAGGGGATTTGGGTCTGAGAGAAATCCTATTTTAAATTACTGTTTTCACCAAAAACTCCCTGAAAAGTTTTTATAGGTTGATCTAGTTTTCTTATTTTTATATAGCATATAAGTTATGTATTTAATCCAAGTGAAAGGTCTGAAATAATACTGCTGACATATATTAATCATAGGAATTATATTTGCTTTCATGTTCTGCTTAAATTATAAGTTTAAAGATGATCAAGACATGGGATTAAATATTTTGTTATTTGGTTATGCACAGGCAGCATAGAACTTGCGTCCCATTTTTCATTTATGAAGTGCGTGTTTGCTGTGTTGGTTGAATGTCTTCGACAGGCTAAACCTTGAGATAAAACATGAAAAAGGTACAATATCTCTGTTCTAAAAGGGTTCATAACCCATTAGGGCCAGACATATATAGAAAAATCTAGCATACTTCCTTGTTTTTAGCATGCAATAAATACCTGTTGAGTGAGCCAATGAATGAATAATATTTAGAAATGGAAAAGTCAAATACAACTTGAATATTAAAATGTTCCAGGTCTATTGTGATTATGTGTTAATAATATCAAATATATCACTGTATCATACCCAGTGCATTTCGAGTCTGGTAAATGGAGACTGGTGCTTTTCTCCTCACTGAGAGAAGTCATTGTGTGTTCATCAGAATCTACTTCCCTGACTGTCTGAGCTCCCAGTGTACCGTGCCTAAGTCCTGGTCCTCTTCTGGTTTGGTTAGCGCCCCTGCAGGGCCCAGATGCCATGTCAGCCTCAAGGAGGAAGGGATCTAAAGAGAGAGAATTGGAGTCTAAGACAAAAGGCTGAAGAAATTGCATTTGGGTTTTTTTTTTTTTTAAGGTATTGGCAAAAGGTACCTTGTTCTCAAATATTCATTGTTCCCGTATTTTTTTTTAAGTGCCAAAGTCTCCATAAATGGGGAACAAAACATGAGACAAGTAGAAAATTTCAGTTAGACTTCTAGGAAGGACATCCTGAAATATAAATCCTTCTTAATAATGTATAGACTAAACTATGGGACTCCAGAAATTGACAACAAATCAACCAGCTTTCATGGTCACTTTAAGGACATTCCCCTCCTTGAGTAGAGGTTATATCACCCCATCAACTCCCAGTCCTCTTCCCATCAGCTCCACCATCAACACACAGAAATTCACACAAGTTTACTGTTTTGGTATTCAACAAAATATATATTTTATCCAGTTGAGTGTGAAGTCAGAGGAAACTAAATGCTAGAATAGTATAAAGGTCCTAAAATTATAATTGCTAGCATTTCTCATGCTAACTATGTGCTCCACCTTACATGCATTTTTCTCACCATTATTGAGTCCATTTTTCAGATTAAGACACTGAAACAGAGAGAGGTCAAGTACTTTTTCTAAGGTCACACAGCTACTAAGTAGTACAACTAGCATTTTAATCCAGGTCAATTCTTGAGCCTGAAATTTCCATCTCTAGGGCAAATCCAAGTTAAAGGCATGGAATATTGAAAATTGCAAGAACAATTATTTCATAATATTATAATATATTGGAAAGACCAAGGAGTGAGCCACCTCTCTGATGACTTAATCCTCTCAAACACAAGCAGGGATTTTGGTATGGAGATGTGCGGGAATCATGTCCTGATTATACTTAGGACAGGGTCACATAGAAGCTATTTCCAATTCCTCCAGTTGCTGATTCAGTTTCTGATCGTCATTTTACAAAAACACAAAGTAGAAGGTTAGAAAGTTCCTGCAATAACTCAAAAATCCTCAGAGACTTGCCTGTTGGTGTGTATTGTCAATCCCATCAACCCCATGTGAATGAGAGAATAGAGTGAGCAAACAGATCGAACAGAACAGAATCTCTTTCTGGAAAACCAAACAAATCCCTCTATCATAGTCCTTGTGTCCTGGAACTGCTAGCGCCTGTTAACAGTAAGAGTTAGTCAGCTGGACTGCCCTAGAACACATCTGGCTGCCGATTCAGTCACATTTTTTTAAAGGAAGAGGAGGAACTAAATCATGACTTCCACTCTTGTTTCTTGAGACACATGGGATGCCTTTGTTCTTACACCCTACAGAAAGCAACTCAGGGACATCCTGGTTTTGGCACTTGCATCTTTGGCACTTCTAGAGCTGAGCCCTTGCCTGGATGATCTCTCTCTTAGTCACTGGATATTTCAACACTGAATGCAATTGTCTGTAGGAGGTCTCCTTCGGCTATAAAAGAGAATGAAAGAAATGTTTTTTCAGACAGCCCTTAACCATCAATCATGATTCTTCTTTAGAACTTGATTTCAAATGTTTGTGCTACAAGAACATGCTGTCCATTATATCACATGGGCAAGTAGAGGTGATTTCAAAATGCTGTTAGGATGAGAAAGGCCTCTGTCAATAGATTTTCTCCAGACACTATAAGCTGGTGTCAGCAGGGTGACTCTCCTTTGCCGGACACCTCCAGCCTAGGCTAGATGGCTTTCCACTCCAGACGCCAACATGAAAATGGGCTAAATGAGGTTATCTCTGATGACTCAAGTAGTAGGATGTAAATAGCCTTGTGGGTCCATTAACATGAAAGTTTTCCATTTAATTTTAGTGCCAACTTTCACAGGACTTTATGGGTGACATAAGAAAACCCACTTTGGATTTATACAGTGACTGGGTTTGTCTTATGATGCCTTCCCTCCTACAACTTGTGGGCATGTTGTCTTCCATGTTAAACGTGGTTGGAGAGCCAAAACCAGTGCAGTGGTTGGGCAGGATAACTTCACATTTTCACACATACATACTATTAATGAGCCAGTAGGTAAAACTGAACCCCAGCCTATTTTTCAAAGACACTTTGAATTACATAATGACAAAACAAATACATGCTTAGCACCTCAAATAAGTTACTATCCTTGTCCTGAAATCTTTTTGTCTTTCCACTCCATATGCCTGTGCTATGACTCTCTGTTAAGCTTTTCCCACACTCACATTCTCTCTCTCTTTCTCACATAGGCACACACATATGCACATATGTGCCTACACATTGGCATACATGGACAAATCACCCCGACAGAATAAACTCCCTTCTCTCTGTCCTTTTGTTCTCTGCCCACACCTTCTATAGTGTACACAGTGTGTTGCCATCAATCTCCTCCACTACACAGTAAACTA